TCACTGTCAATGCTGACAGTTCTGGATTTGTAGGGGGGGGGATTAAAGCATCTGTTAAATGACTATTATTATATGCACCTGTGGTTGTTTTGCTCTGTGGTCTGAGGGTATTTCACCATTCTGTGTTATATCAGACTTTATCCCACTGACGTCTACACAGGCAGGAAGCACTTCATGTCTACACAGACAGGAAGCACTTCAGCCCACTGATGTCTACAGTCGTGGTCAAAAGTTTTGAGAATGACACAAGTATTGGTCTTCACAAATTTCGCTGCTTCAGTGTTTTCAGAAATTTTGTCAGATGTTACTATGGTATACTGAAGTATAATTACAAGCATTCCATAAGTGTCAAAGGCTTTTATTGACAATTACATTAAAGTTTATGCAAAGAGTCAATATTTGCAGTGTTGACCCTTCTTTTTCAAGACCTCTGCAATCCGCCCTGGCATGCTGTCAATTAACTTCTGGGCCACATCCTGACTGATGGCAGCCCATTCTTGCATAATCAATGCTTGGAGTTTGTCAGAATTTGTGGGTTTTTGTTTGTCCACCTGCCTCTTGAGGATCGACCACAAGTTCTCAATGGGATTAAGGTCTGGTGAGTTTCCTGGCCATGGACCCAAAATGTCGATGTTTTGTTCCCCGAGCCACTTAGTTATCACTTTTGCCTTATGGCAAGATGCTCTATCATGCTGGAAAAGGCATTGGTCGTCACCAAACTGTTCTTGGATGGTTGGGAGAAGTTGCTCTCTGAGGATGTGTTGGTACCATTCTTTATTCATGGCTGTGTTCTTAGGCAACATTTTGAGTGAGCCCACTCCCTTGGCTGAGAAGCAACCCCACACATGAATGGTCTCAGGATGGTTTACTGTTGGCATGACACAGGACTGATGGTAGCGCTCACCTTGTGTTTTCAGGATGCCCCAAACAATTGGAAAGGGGATTCATCAGAGAAAATGACTTTACCCCAGTCTTCAGCAGTCCAATCCCTGTACCTTTTGCAGAATATCAGTCTGTCCCTGATGTTTTTCCTGGAGAGAAGTGGCTTCTTTGCCTGCCCTTCTTGACTCCAGGCCATCCTCCAAAAGTATTCGCCTCACTGTGCGTGCAGATGCATTCACACCTGCCTGCTGCCATTCCTGAGCAAGCTCTGCACTGGTGGTGCCCCGATCCCGCAGCTGAATGAACTTTAGGAGACGGTCCTGGCGCTTGCTGGACTTTCTTGGGTGCCCTGAAGCCTTCTTCACAACAATTGAACCTCTCTCCTTGAAGTTCTTGATGATCCGATAAATAGTTGATTTAGGTGCAATCTTACTAGCAGCAATATCCTTGCCTGTGAAGCCCTTTTTGTGCAAAGCAATGATGGCACGTGTTTCCTTGCAGGTAACCATGGTTAACAGAGGAAGAACAATGATTTCAAGCCCCTTCTCCTTTTAAAGCTTCCAGTCTGTTATTCTAACTCAATCAGCATGACAGAGTGATCTCCAGCCTTGTCCTCGTCAACACTCTCACCTGTGTTAACGAGAGAATCACTGACATGATGGCAGCTGGTCCTTTTGTGGCAGGGCTGAAATGCAGTGGAAATGTTTTTTGTTTTTGTTTTTTTGGGGGAGGATGGATCAGCTTAATATTGCAGATAGATTGTATCTTCTATCAATGTAATTGTCTGCATCACTTCCAATCCCCCATGTTTTTTATATATATACTCCCCTTTATTACTTTTCAACCCCGCCATCCTTTCCCTACTTGGAGTAAATTAGTGAACAACAATGCCCAGGCCTCTACTTTCGGTCTATACTTACTATCTACACCTTATGGACACAGTTAATTTTACAATAATTGTATTATATATATATATTTATTTTATTTTTTTGCTCCTGAACTTCTTCTACTCTCAACCTCTCCGATCATTTTCATGATGTCCATCCGGTTTGCTTCTATATGCCATATCTTTCTAACTGTGCTCTTTCCCAAAAGCTCCCAACATACAACCTATATACTTATTATGGACACAGTATGCTTACATTATTAGCTATCTTTGTTATTATTTGTTGTTATTTGTTATTAGTCCCATCCTTCAACTCTATTCAAAACCTCCCATCTATCTCTTAACACCATCCATATAGGATTTCTATTTGCCATATATATTTCAACCGTACTGTGATGTTTTATAAAAGTTCTGAACCTTTCTATTCTCATTGCTTCTACAGATTGTGAATTAAAAATAAACATTTTTGCTAAAAGTATTATTATATTATTGATCGATTGACTATTACTTTTCAGATCACCCAGTAATGCTATCTGCAAGGTTAGCTCCAGGTAAATATTGCAATCCTTTAGCCATTCCTGGACCTGTGTCCAAAAACAAGCTACAAATGGACAGAACCAAAACAAATGATCTAATGATTCTGTCTCTTCACAGCAAAATCTGCAGAGCTGGGAAGATTGTATCCCCCATATAAATAACATTCTATTGGTAGCAAGAATTTTATATAATAATTTAAATTGAAAGATTCTAATTTTTGAATCCGGTGTCGTTTTGCGTGTCAGTTCATAAACACTATGCCATGGGATCGGTACGTCAAAAATCTCTTCCCAACTATTTTGCAATCTATATGGGACGGCTGTCAATTCTTTGGTCCTTAAGTGAAACTGATATACTTTTTTATTTATCACAGTTTTCCTTAACCAATTATGTTCTTTAATGCAAGGCCGACAGACAAGTTCCTTACTTTCTCCCCCTTCCACTTTCCTCTTCCACTTTTGCAGTAAGGCTGCAATTATTTGGTTGTAATTTTGGGTAGAGCAGACATTTCCATATGTTTTTGTTAGCTGCATGTGCGACATAACTCCACCAGTCCTACCGATGATATCATTTACGAAGATTATACCTTTTTTAAACATTCTGTCAAAAAATAAAGGTTTTTTGTCAATTAGTATATTTGAATTTAACCACAATATTTGTTGCATTATTTGTTCCTGTCGTTTCTGGAGGATTAAATTGAAATTGCAACCAACTTTCTATGGCTTGTTTTAGAAATAGTGATATTTGGGAGATGATTTCCTTTTCAAATAACTGCAAATGAGTTGTTGTAATCTGAATAAAGGGAAAAAGGCCTTTCTTGAACATTGGGTGAGACAATCTTACTAATTTGCTTGAGAACCAGTTCGGATTTAAGTATAACTTTTGTATGACTGAAGCTTTTAGTGATAGGTCTAATGCTTTAATATTTAATCATTTCTGTCCTCCAAATTCATTGTCACGATCGTTATGGGAAGAAGCGGACCAAGGCGCAGCGTGAGAAGCGTACATCTTTTAATGAGTGTACACACAACGAACCAAAACAATAAACGATACATGAAGTCCTAGGTTAAATACACAAACCTTCCGGAACAAGATCCCACAATACAAAAGTGCCAACAGGCTGCCTAAGTATTACTCCCAATCAGAGACAACGAGAATCAGCTGCCTCTGATTGGGAACCACCCTGGCCAACATAGAAATACAACGATCTAGAACAAAACATAGAAAACTATAACATAGAACCTACACACCCTGGCTCAACATTAAAGAGTCCCCAGAGCCAGGGCGTGACATTCATATTCATTATATAAATATGCCCTTTTAATTTTGTCTGGCTTGCCGTTCCAAATAAAATTGAATATTTTTTTCTCATAAAATTAATAAACTGGAAATGTTTTTTGGGGATTAAGTTCATTTTCATGGCAAAGATGGACTTTGCAATTAATTGCAATTCATCTGATCACTCTTCATGACATTCTGGAGTATATGCAAATTGCCATCATCAAAACTGAGGCAGCAGACTTTGTGAAAATTAGTATTTGTGTCATTCTCAAAACTTTTGACCACAACTGTACACAGACGGGAAGCACTCTCTCTCTCTCTCTCTCTCTCTCTCTCTCTCTCTCTCAGCCACCGGGGCAGGGACATACACTGAGTGTACAAAACATTAGGAACACCTGCTCTTTCCATGACATAAACTGACCAGGTGAATCCAGGTGAAAGCTATGATTCCTTATTGATGTCACTTGTTAAATCCACTTCAATCAGTGTAGATGAGACAATTGAGACATGGATTGGGTATGGCAGTAGGTGCCAGGCACACCGGTTTGTGTCAAGAAATGCAACGCTGCTGGGTTTTTCACACTCAACAGTTTCCCGTGTATAAAGAATGGTCCACCACCCAAAGGACATCCAGCCAACTTGACACAACTGTGGGACGCATTGGAATTCAACATGGGCCAGCATCCCTGTGGAACGCTTTCGACACCTTGTAGAGTCCATGCCCGACGAACTGATGCTGTTCTGAGGGCAAATGGGGGGGAAATCTGTTCCCAAGTATTCCCACGCATAAATAATGTGATCGTATCCCAATGTAATCAATGTTTGAAATGATTATTATTTTGTCAAATACTATATCTTGGGCAGCAGGTATAGCATTGGGGTTAGAGCGTTCGGCCAGTAACCAAAAGGTGAAAACCTGTCGCTGTGCCCTCGAGCAAGGCACTTAACCCAAATTGCTCCATGGGTGCTGGACAACGGTGACCCTGGCCGTGATCCCACTCCCTGCGGGTGTCTCAGGGGGATTTGGGATATGCAAAAAACTCATATGTATTAAACACTTGTACAAGTGTGTAACAGGAAAAATATAAGCACCCTCCAAATTATTATTATCTGTTCGGGATTCTAAATATAGAGTATTCCTGAATTGGGGTGAGGGCAAATATAGTAAATATAGAGTTTCCTGAATTGGGGTGAGGGCAGAATATAGTAAATATAGAGTATTCCTGAATTGGGGTGAGGGCAGAATATAGTAAATATAGAATATTCCTGAATTGGGGTGAGGGCAGAATATAGTAAATATAGAGTATTCCTGAATTGGGGTGAGGGCAGAATATAGTAAATATAGAGTATTCCTGAATTGGGGTGAGGGCAGAATATAGTAAATATAGAGTATTCCAGAATGTTATCTCACCATCCTCTTCATCTCCTTGGAGATCTGGTTTCCTCCCATGTGGTTGTAGAAGGGCCGGTCGGTCCAGTGGCCCGTGTTGTGGGTGACAGAATTGGCGCGCTGACGGTTCATCTTGGCTATCATTGCCTTCTCTTCTTTCTGAAAGGCAAAGGAGACAGACTAATATATTGAGGGATGGTAATGGAAAAGGTCACTCTGGGAAGTCGGAAGGAAGCTACCAATGTAAAATCCTTTATTAATGAACCATAAAAGGCGCATGTTTAAATGTTTAAATGGTTTTACTGACTACCGGAACCCAGTTCCCCTGGCTGGCCCCCTCTTTCCACCCATGACACAGGCTGACAGATATAGTATATTGTATTTCTAGAAGTTGAATTCCATGCATGCTCACAATCACTAAATCTACTGTAGATCAGTTACATGTTTTTCAATGGTTCCTTCTACAATTAAATATGGTTAAAAGTATTGATAGCTGATCTGGGATGAATGTAGTGATTCAACCTGGACGGGAAAGGTAGCGAACTCTAAGGTTGTGTCTCAAATTGCACCCTATTCCCTATAGTGCACTAGGTCAACTGTATTGCACTCTATAGGGAATAGGGTCTCATTTGGGACGCACACTAAAAGTTATCACTAATGTAACAGGGGGACCAACCCATTCCCAGTTCATCCATAGGTTAGAATGGAGTATATAGTAATATGATACATGTGAAAATACACATGATATGATTTGTTAGCTGGATTAGAGTCAAAACTTGTGATATCGCCACAGGACTGATGTGATATGACCCACACACACACACACACACACACACACACACACACACACACACACACACACACACCACACACCACACACACACACACACACACATAGTTTTATTTATGGTAGAGTCACCCAGGTGCCCAGAGTATATGGGAAAGTTTATTTCCCATATGTAATAATTACATTGGACATCTTACTCATATCTGTGTAATGAATAGGGATGTAGCTCAGTTGGTAGAGCATGGCGTTTGCCATGCCAGGGTTGTGGGTTCGATTCCCACGGGGGGTATGAAAAAAAAAAAAACTGTAAGTCGCTCTGGATAAGAGCGTCTGCTAAATGACTAAAATGTAAAAAAAAAAAAAGTGAAATTAATACATTGGAGCACTTACTCAATCTTACTCTGTTACTCTATGTTACTATATCTTACTCTGTTGCTCTGTTACTCTCTGTTACTTTCTGTACTCTATGTTCCTCTGTTACTCTATGTTACTCTTTGTTACTCTATGTTATTGTCTGTTATTCTATGTTACTCTATGGTACTCTCTGTTACTCTCTGTTACTCTATATTACTCAATTACTTTATGTTACTCTATTTTACTCTTATGTTACTCTGTTACTCTATGTTAATCTGTTACTCTGTGTTACTGTTACTCTCTTATCCCTTTCTACCTTTTTCTACACACAGACACAAACACACACACACACACACACACGATATGACATGTTAGCTGGATTAGAGCCAAGGCTTGTGATATCGCCACTGACTGATATGATATGACACGCGCACGGACACACACACACACACGCACGGACACACACACACACACACACACACACACACACACACACATACCCTTTTCTGGCTGCAGCCCACGATGAGGTAGGTTTCTATGTTATGCTTCTTCAGATAGATGTTCCTCTCTCCTCCTGATCCTGGCTCCACCTCATAGTCTCCACTCAGGTAGTTCAGAGTGGCCTTGGTGATGTGGATCCGCCTGGCACAGTAACACACCAATGATTTACTGGGCACACTGGACAGGGATTGACAGTATTCATTCATTCATTAATTTTATGTTTATACCATAAAAAAATTATGATGTAATATTGTCATATTCATAATGTAGTGTAAATCTTTGTTTCCCATTTACTTTTACAATGTGAAGTCAGATGAATGAATGGGTACAGTACAGTATGTTTCACTTGTGGCTACTAGGTGTGACAACATATGCATTGTACATAAACTGTGTATTCACTGAGACTAGGGTTTAGTTCCAAACTCCATATTCAAATTATGCTAAGAATGAATGCTCAATACATAGCTTCATTCTATGTGGAACTCTAAGTAGTATGCTAATGTATATTGGAACACAGCCTAGTAGTGTCAATGGGTGAGTGACTGTGTACTGGTTTGTCGGGATTGTCCGGACGTACCCTGCCGCACCCCCAGCCTCCATGTGATTGGCTAACGTGACATCGTTGGACCACACGTCAAACTGCCACTTCCTGAGTCCCAGCACCCCACAGTGGACCCTGCCGCTATGGATTCCCACACGCATGTTCACGTTGACCCCCGTCACCTCTCTCACCAGCCTGGATCACAGACACAGACAGAAACAACTGAGCACTGATTGACAGATTGACCACATCATCAAGCAATAGAAGGGAGTAAGAGGAACAGGAAAATGACAGGAAAATAACACACGCATGAGTAACAGTAATGCTTCCACAACTATAGCAAACTGAATCCACAGGAAGTTCTCCTTCCTTGCAGTGAGGCTCCAGTATGTGTGTGTCCTATCTCTGGCTAATGCCTGACCGACCACTTGACTGACTGACCAAAACCGGACTTATGACCCGGACTGACCTGGACCGACTGAATTAAACCGATGCTGAGGGACCAACCTTGACTGGACCGAAATGGGACCGGACTGACTGACGGGGACGCACTGACTGACCGGGGCCCGACTGGACCGACCACTCCAATCTGGGGACCGGAACCACTTGGACCTGAACTGACTGACTGACTGATTGGACTTGACTTGACCGGGACCGAACTGACTGAACTGACTGACCGACTAAATTGACTTACTGAACCGACCAACTGGGGACCCGATTCACTTGACTGTACATGACCGACTGAACTGGACTGACTGACTGGACCGATCAGACTGGACCGACCGACCAACCAAACTGACCAACCAACTGAAAAAACTGACCAAACTGCCCTGACCGACTGAACCGTCTAACAGGGACTCTGACTGACCGACAACCACTTGAAAAAAATGACCCGACTGACCTGAACTGACCGACTGGACCGACCAGACCACTTGGACTGAATCGACTGGAACTTGACTGAAAATTACTGACCAACCCCCGGAAACGACCGACCACTTGACTGACGACTTAAAATGGGAACCGACCGACTGACCGACTGAACATGGACCGACCACTTGGACTGACCCGAATGACTTACTGGACTGGACAGACTTACTGACCAACTGAACCGAACCGGAACGGACCATTGAACTGGACGCCTGACCGGACCGACTGGACGACCGACGGGGGACCGACTGACCAAACTGACTCTACTGGGACAGACGAAAAAACTGACCGGACCCGGACTGACCGGACCCCAACTGGGACTCAACGGGACTGACTGATTTACCAAACTTGCTGACCGGAATGGCTTGGAACGAACCACTTGGGAATGGACCAAACTGACCGACTGGTCCGACTGGACCGACCACTTGGACTGACTGGACTGGGGACCGGGACTGGGGCCCGACCGCACTGATGACTGAACCGACTGACTTACTGACGACAACTTGAAAAACTGACCGGAACTGGCTGAGGGGACGACTTACTGGAACCTGACCAAACTGACCCGATCACTTGAGCTGACCGGACTGGACTGACCTGGACCGGACAACTGACAGACCCCAGGACCGACCAACCGACGAACAACCACTTGACTGGGACGACTGACTTGACTGACCGACTGACATGACTACTGACAAACCGAAACTGGACCGACCACAACTTGGAATGACCGACTTTTGACTTACTGGACCGACCGGAATGACTGATCCGACCCACTTGACTGACCGACTGACTGACTGACCCGGACTCTTACTTGGACCAACAACTGAACCGCCCGACCGACCATTTGAATGACCACTGAACCGACTGACCGACTGACCGATCTGGACTGACCCCAACTGAACTTAATGACCGACCAACACTGACCCGACGAACTGAACTGACTTGAACCCCACTGACTGGGACCGGAAACTGACCCGACTGTTGACTGACTAAAACCGGACTGAACTGACACTTGACTGACTAACCGACTGACCACCGACTGCACTGACACCCGGGACTGGACCTGGACCACTGCTGACGGGGGGACTTTAACTGACTGACGGGACTGAATGACGCTACTGACCGACCTGACCGACCGACTGGAACTGACACAACTTGAAACTGACCGACCACTTGAATGGGAACGACTGCCCGAACTGAATTGACTGAATACCGATGACTGGGAACCACTTGACTGGCTAAACCGGACCTGGGACAGACCACTGACCCCGGACTCCCGGACCCGACTGACTGACTAAACCGGGACTGAGCCGGGGATTGACTGACCCACCCGACTGACTTGACCACTTGACTGACGGGGGGACTGACTCAACGGGACTCTGACTGACTTACTGGACGGAACTACCTGACGACCGGACTGACTGACCCACCCTTTGATGAACGACCCACTTTGACTGGACTAAACCGACTGGGACCGACTGAACTGGCTGACTGACTGACCACCCGACTGGACTGACCACTTGAACATGACCGACCGAATGAACGGAACTCACTGACCGACTGCCCGGACACCGACCGACTAACTGGGACAGACTGGACTTCTTACCCTGACCGACCTGGACCGATCGACCTGGACCTGACCACTTGACTGACCAAACTGGGCTGGGACTGACCGACTACTGGACCGCCAACCTGACCGTCAATTGACTGGACCGACTGACTGACTTGGACCGACCGACCAAAAACCGGACTGACCAACCACCTTGGACTGACCAACTGCCTGAACCGAACTAGACCCGACTGACAGAAACTGATGACCGACCACCTTGACTGACCGGGGCTGACTGGTACTGAACTACCTGGACCAGACCGACCACTTGACTGACCGACTGACTTGACTTAACTGGGGACAACCGACCCTGATCGGACCACTTGGACTGACCGACTGACTGACGGGACCGACTGACTGAAACGACCACTTGGACTGACCGGAACTGACTGACTGATGACTGGACCGACCACTTGACTGTACCGACTGACTGACATGACCGGGATTTACTGAACCAAACTGAACCGACCGCCATTTTGACATGACCGACTGACCGGACTTGACTGACTTGACCGGACTGGAACGACCAACCCGGACTGAAACCAAAACTGACTAATGACCGACCAACTGGGGACCGCGACTTTCTTTGACTGACGGAGATGACTGACCAACTGCTGGACCGACTTGACCGACCCCACTGCCCCGACCACTTGACTGCCAACTGGGACCTGACCAACACTGACCGGACTGACTGAGTGAACTGGGACTGACCACTGACTGAAACAGACCGGACCGACTGACCGACACCAATTGACGGGACCGACCACTTGCATGGAATCGGACTGGGGGGACCGAACTGACTGACCACGTGACTGACCGAATGACTGCCTGACCGAACTGATCGCGACTGACTCAACTGACCCGTTATGACTGACCGGGACTAAACGACTGACCCTCCTACTTGACTGACATGACCGACCCCCCCCCCGACACTGACCGGGACCACTTGGAATGACCGACTGAAATGACCGACCCACTTTGGACACGGACGACAACTGACGACTGACTGAAAATGACCAACTTGAACTTCGAATGACTGGACCGGGACCATGACCGGACACGAAACCAACCCGGCTGACCCAAACCACTTGATTGGGGAACCGAAACTGACCGACGACCGAGCTCCGCTGACTGGACCGACCCACCTTGACCGGACCGAAGGACTGGACCGGAATGGAACTGACCGGAGACGACCCGGGGACCGACCACTGGGGACTGGACTGGAATGGGGCTTGACCGACTTACTGACCGGACGGACCACTCTTACATGGACCCGACAAACCGACTACGGACTGACTTGAATAACCGAACTGACCCAATGACACAACTGACCGACCGGGGGGGGACCCAACCATTTGTCTGACCGGCACTGACTGAACTGACCAAAAAACTTAGACGACGGGGACCGACCGGAAACTGACCGAAACTCCGGAACACTTGGGAATGACCGACTGACTGAATTTACTGACGACTGGACTGTCCGACTGACCGGACTTGGGACCCGGACTGGGATTCCGACTGACTGGACACGGACTGGACTGGGACCCCGAACCATTTTGACTGACGACTGGATGACTGGAAACCGGGACCTATTGACCGGACTGCCAGACTGGACCGGGACCCGACCCACCTTGGGAACTGAACCGATTTTGGCCCGACTGGACGGGGGGGGACCGATTGACTGAAGGCCCCGAATGACTGGACCAGAACTGACAGAATTTGCCACTGATGACCGATATTGCCCGACTGACTGAACTGACTGACTGGGACCGGGACCACTGGAATGGACTGTTCTGACCAACAACAAAACAAAAAAAAAAAAAAATGACTTTACTGACCCGACCACTTGAATGGGGACCTTAACTGACTGGACTGACCCCAAACTGACTGACTGGAACCGACTGACTGAACTTAATTGACAAACCGGAACTTGTGACCGACCACTTGACTGGACCGACTTACTGAACCGACCGGACTGACTGACCCGACCACTTGCTTGACTGACCGACTGAAGACTGGACCGACATTACTTTACTGAACCAAAACTGGACCGGGACCGGGACCGACCAATTTGGACCTGACCGGAAACTGACCGACTGCACTTGACGGACGAAACTGACCGACCAACCGACTGACTGGGAACAACTGACCTTCTTACTGGCCGACCAACTGACCGGAACTGACTGACTGGACCACTTGACTGACCGACTTGACCGACTGAATGAGTGACTGACTAACCGCACGAGACTTGACCACTGGACTGGGACTAACCGACTTGGGATCGACCTTGGACTTGACCACCGGAAATGACTGACCACTTGGAGACGGGGAACTGGACTGACGGGACTGGAATGAACTTAACTGACCGACGTGACCGACCGACTGACTGACCCACTTGACTTGACCGGACCACCTTGACTGGACCGACTGACCGACTGAACTGACTGACCGACCCGACCGGACCGACCACTCTTGACTGGCTGACTGACTGGGGGACCGGACTCTCTTACTGACGACCGACCCACTTAACTGACCGACCGGCTGAATGACTGGACTAACGACTTGAACCCAATGCACCCCCCCAACTGAACCCCGACCGACCCGACCCCCATTTGTATGGACCGACTGGAACTGAACTGACCAAACTTGCTTACTGACC